TTCATCTGTACTTTGATAGGGATTCTATTGACTTTAGATCATGTTGGGTAATATTGAAGTTCCATCAATATAGATCCTACCAATCCATGAATATGGGATGCATTTCCATTTCTTGGCATCTCTTAGTGTCTTTCATCAGTGTTATAATTCTCAAAGCTAGATTTTTTTTTCACTACGTAGTATGCACTTATTTCTAGGTATTTCATTTTGGTGGCTCCTGTAAATGATATTAAACTCTTAGGTTGTATTTCAAACAATTAATAATTGGTATGTTACAATGCTTAATTAAGTTAGTCTAATGGAGTTTAGGGTAAAATTTGGAGGGAACATTTCTAAATAGAAGATCATATTGTTCATATCCTAACAGAATTTTGTTTCCCTTCCAAATTAAATGTCTGGGAGTTCTGACTGGAGTTCTGTAATTGGGACATCTCTCAGAAACAACAGTTGCTGAAATCATTGTCTTCTTTAAGACTCTGGGGAGAGAGACTTGTTAACTTTAAGCTCTTTTATATAAATAGCTTAATCATAATGAGCTGTTCCTTCTAGATCTAATTCAATTCATTTGGCGTGTTTACCATGAAGATGTGTGTGTGTGTGTGGTGTGTGTGTGTGTGTGTGTGTGTGTGTGTGAGAGAGAGAGAGAGAGAGAGAGAGAGAGAGAGAGAGAGAGAGAGAATGCATGTGTGTGTTTACTATCCAGGAAATCTACTTTAGAGTCTAGAAGCTTGCATTTGGATTGTATGTTAGCATTAAGAATAAGTATTTGGATAAGCTAGAGAGAAGTTGAGATAAAGCACGTACATCAAGTCAAGATCTGGATGGATTAAACCCCTAATGAAGTAGAATAACTCTGAGTTCAGCCTAAAAGGACAGAAAGTGTCCAACAAGAAACCAGGAACTTAAATTTATTAGGAAAATTTGTCTTAACATGTAGTATTTAATATGCAAGAGAGAGATTTAATATTCCTTTTAAAAGCAATTGTTGAAAATGGTAAAATCATGACTTGTCAGTTAGTATCAATATCTTCTGAAATTAAATATGATACTAAAATGTTACTGTTTAATAAATAAATATATATTAGTGTATTTTTAAGAGCCAGACATAGTTAATACATAACAAAGTAGCACACAAAATAAAGACTAAAGCCATAGAGACAATTATGTCTTCTAGTCTCCCTGAATTATTTTATAGTCCTCACACTATTGTGAAAGGAAAGTTTGAAGAGGGATTTTAAGTAAATGTTAATTGACAATAAAAGCCTTAACAGAGAATGTAAACAGAGATCTTAAAAGATGTTTGACTCCACTCAATATTTCTATTTTGGGGACAGGCAGGAAATCTAACCCAGTTTCAGGTGTCAGCTGAGTTATTGTACAGTGTTCTCCTTCTTGTCCTTGGCATTGTGAACTACTTGGCTATGTGAAAAAGAAAACTTAACTGCAGAAATAAAATCAGCATCTTTTAGCCCTGAAATTCCCTTCATTGTGAGGTGTTTAAAGTGCCAACTTTATGCACAAGTGTCCTAGCCTTGAAATAGTTTACAAATCATTGACTCAACAAACACTATTAGTATAAGAACTTGTGATTCGTTAATCAGCTTTTGCTTGCTTATTACTCTTTTCAAATTTCAAATAGTGTCAAAAACTTAAGAAAATTTCAGCAAAATCTTGTGAAATATATAGGTTTGGAATATTAAATTTCTGTAAATTAGGTATGAAAAACAATGAAGTTAGAGGAAGCACATTGTCAGACAGGAGAGGTCCTTGTACTTAGGATCTAATTAGCAAGGTGCATAGCTTACTTATACACCTCGGACCTAATTGTTGTCAGTTCACTTGAATATTTCTAATCATTTCTTCTTTTTAATTAAAAACAGAATCTTCTCATACAGTATATTATGATTTTGGTTACTCTCCCTAAACTCCTCCCAGATCTACCTCACTTCTCTACCTATCCAAAGCTCTACATGTCCTTTCTTCCTCTGTCTTATTGGAATATGTATAGGCATCTGAGAAACAATAATAATAAAATAACAATTATTGAAATAATAATATGATAAAACAAAAACAAACCAGAATAGGACAAAATGAGCAAACAAAAAAAAAGAGCAAAAGAAAAAGCAGAAGAAACACAGATGATAAGACCCACATTCACACACACAGAAAACCCACAAATACAAAATAAAAAACTATAAAATATAAGCAGAAGATATGTAAGGTTAAAAAAAAACAAACTCTAAGGATACCACTGGGTTTCTACTGTATTATCATCTACTACTGGAAATACAACAGCCTGCCCTTAAATTTGGTTTGTATACCCAGAGAACTCATTGGAGAAACCCAAATTTCCCTTTGTGGGCTATGAGCTGTTTCTTTTTTGAGATAGCATCTGGGTATGGGATGGAGTCTTGTGTTCATTCCATTTTTCCTGTCAGTGCTGGGATGCCATCTGGCATGTACCCCTGTTGCTCTTTTGCTGCCACCACAGCTTTCCTGTGTTCATCTACATGTCCATCCTGTCCTGTCTTGAAGGCCCTGTGGTCCCTTGGTGTTCATGAGGTTTTGGCTCCTAAAAATCTTTCTGTCTCCTCTTCTGCAGAGTTCCCTGAGCATTAAGAGAAGGGAGTAAGTGAATACATCCCATTTAAGACTGACACTTCCGAGGTCTCTCACTCTGTCCAGTTGTGGGTCTCAGTATTTGCTCCCATCTACTTCAGGCAGAATCTTTTCTGATGATGGCCGAACAGGATTCTGATCTATATGTATAGCAGAATACTATTAGGCGTGGCTTTACTGCAACATTCTTTTACCAGAACAGTAATGTTTGGTTTTTCCCTAGGTCATGTCCTATCTAGTCTCTGGTTTTTGGCATGGGTCTTATCTAATAGTGTGAACTTTAATTTCAATCTGTTAGTGATTGGTTAATCTGACAACTTTTTGACACTATTGCATTAGCTAATCACCATTGTAGATCATGTGGTTTGTACCTGGTTTACCTTTTTCTTCTCGTAGTGTGCAGAGTACCTTCCAGTAACATGAATATTAGCCAGTAGGGGTAAAGATTCTACACAAGGACCACCTTGACATCTTTCTGTTCCATGACTTATGTAGGTATTATCTACAGCAATGGGGCCTTATCATCAGATTATAGAAAGTAACCAATAGCCTTGGAAATAGCCTGGGTGGATTTGGAGGTTCCATAGGGTCCCTTTGACCAACAACTCATTTAAACATAACCTATTTCCAGCTTGAGGGTTTCATTTAGTGATGAGAGATGTCTACTTGGGTCTTTGTCTCCCTCAGCGTTTTAAATCTACTTGAGCATGTAGAAATATTGGCTCAAGGTCAGGATCCCCATTTTGAAGTTAGTTTTAAAAAGAGAGAGAGAGACAGGAACTGACTTTTAATAATCTATGATAGGAGAAAGAGAGAGCAAAGGGTGATTGAGAGGAAAAAAGAAAAACCATAATGCAAAATAAATATTTCAGTTGTAGATTATAATCACTGGTTGAGTCATTTAAAAACTTAGTTAAGCTGCCTTATCAAACCAGTAACTGCAATCAGGAGGCTATAGAATCTGTTCCTCCAGCTATAACATGCGTGAATTTGAAGCCAGTTGAGATTCCAATGGCTTTGCCTTCAAATTCTAATTACATACCTGACATTTTATCCGTTTGAAGGGTCATGGTTAAGGCTTTGGTTTCACCATCCCCACATCGCCAATGAACTTTGCTCTTTATAATTGTCTAAAACAACACATAAATATATACACTCCCCTAATTGCTCAGTAACTTGAATACAAAACCTTAAATTTTGTCTTCTTCTGTTTATCACGATCAATCTTTCTTCTTAATACTTCTATCATATTTTAATTACATTTATTTTGATTATATTTAGGACTGTGTGTCTGTTTGTGTGTGTATGTTCATGACCATGTAGGTGCCCAAAAGAGGCCAGAGAAGGATTGCAGATCCTCTGGAGCTCAAATTACAGGCAGGTATGATACACCCAACATATATACTAGGAACCTATTTGGGTCAGCATGACAGCAGCAAATGCTGTTTCTTGCAGAGCATCTCTCCATCCCTGCATTCTTTTACCATAGTTTCTACATAATCAGAGGTCCCTGGCTTGTCACTACCATCACCACCACTGTCAATCATAAGCAATGTCTCTTATAACTACTTAAAGCCAGCTTCCTGCGGCTGTGATGTTATGCCCTTGCTTACTCTTCTCCTACTACTAATCTGTGCCACTTCTCCCCTCTTCACTCTGAAGCTGGAGACATTGTTTAAAATATAATCCCCAGTCCAGCTTCAGCTCTACCCCTCTCTCAGTTAAGATATGTTAGTTTTCTTCTTCCTTTCTCTGTCTTTTTTCTTCCCATTCAGTAACCGTTATTCCATTATTTATATATCCTTCATTTTTCTCTATTACATGGATAGCTTCATGAAAACATTATTTTTTTTCTTTTCTCTTTGGAATGGTGCTTTGCCCAAGATGATCCACAGCCAATATATGAGTAACAAATCAGTAAAAACTAAAGTCCAGCTATCAAGAAGTTTGCATAGATCAGTAGGCTTAAGTGCACATCTCCCATGTTTTCCTTTACAGTGGATTCTGCCATCCCTCTATATTCTTTTATAGGTTTGGATAAAATTAACCCATTAAGTTTATGTAGAAGAACAAGGCATTATCTCTTAAACTTTCAACTTTCATGTTAGTTATCACAGTACTGAATATCAAGCATACCTCAGAATTGAAGAGAAAGGGAGTAAAAGCAGAGCATCAGGCCCTCTGTGACCTCTTCCAACAGCCACGAACCAGAGCTGTGCTACAAATAGAATATATTAATATATAAATATATTATTTGTAGATCAAGTATGTATAGCCTTGGATTCAAAGAATGTTTAGCAAAGCCCTTGCTGTTTGAACTTTGTCTGCCAGTTAAGTGATCTGTATCATTCAACAGCTTTTGAAATTCTGTGTGTTTTCAGAGATCATCTATAGCTGGGTCTTCAATGAGTTCCCTTCCTTCGTGGCAGAGGACAGCCGGCGGTTCATATCTCAAGAGACAGGCAACCTCTATATTTCTAAAGTGCAAACATCAGATGTTGGGAGCTACATTTGTCTGGTGAAAAATGCTGTGACGAACGCTCGCGTGCTCAGTCCTCCAACCCCGCTCACGCTGCGAAATGATGGTGAGTTACAGATTTAAAGGATGAGCATTTCATATGCTAAAATCAAGATGTATTCTTGCTGCTTTTCTAAGTACTTGACCAAATAACATCAACTAAAAGGCATCTACCCTATTTATAAATGTATCTCTTTAATCTGAGTTTGTGTATGCCACAGAATAAAATGTTGACATGAGTGATGGGAAATGGCCCAGTGGGTAAAATGTTTGTTGTGCTGTGATTCATGACAATGATTCAAATCCTAAGGACCTATGGCTAAATCCAGTCACAGATTGCCTATAATCCCAACTTCATGATGCAGAGACAAGAACATCTCTGGAGCACGCTACCCAGCCTACCAAACCAGTGAGCCAGGTAAAGCAGACTGCCTTGGAATATAGGTAGAAACTGACGAAGACACATGTCGTCAACCTCTGGCTTCCATACATGCATGCACACTCCCTTACCCCAATACACACATGCACAGACACATGTACACACTCACACACACATGCACACACATACATGTATACACATACACAGACATGGATACAATGGCATTATGGGAAATGAATGATTCACAGAGGATAAATACTGATCATAATGCTACTTAATTATTATAATGAGCACCTGGAAAGGAGATTGATGTGAACTCCATTGTTCTCTTCTTCCTCCTTAGCGTCTGTCTGCAGCATATGTGTATTAACTGTATGAGTTCTATGGGCTCAGTTTTCATTGCATTTGTAGCTCATCTGCCTTCAAATTGAGTATTAAACTTTTAATACTTCATTGTACAATTATAATTGTTATTACTTTTCCAATAATAGGAATAGTTGTAACTTTAACTATTCAGTGCAGCCCAGGCAGGTGTAATGATGCTATAATTATAGGAATTGCCATCTATCCACAGGATCTTCACATTTAAACACCTCATTTGTATTTATAGACATTTACAGTTAGGCATTGCATTAAAAAAGTCAAGTGCTCTATTGTAGTTGATATATGATATGCAGATTGCTCTGCCGTGCAACCAAAATTATCTGTGAAGGCATTATTAAGAAGTGAACTAGAGAATGAGAATTCTGATTGATTTTAAAGTATTAAAAAGTATATTTCAGGACTTTTATAGTTCTTCTGTATGTTTTTTCCCACGAGGCAATCTCCTGTAGCTAAAGCTAGCTCTAAAGTCCTCTTGCTCCCATCTGCCAAGTGCTTTCAGTATATACAACAGCACCCACTTTTAAAATTCTTTTTTAAAAAAATACATACTTTTTGTGGTGATTTGAATGACAATGGCTCCATAGGATCATATATTTTAGTGCTTGTTAACCAAAGAGTGGAACTGTTTGAGAGGTTTACAAAGACTGGGAGGTGTGGCCTTATTGGAGGAGAGGTGGCACTGTGTGTAGGCTTTGAAGTTTCAAAATCCAAGGTCTGCTTAAGACTCCCTCCTCTCTCTCTCTCTCTCTCTCTCTCTCTCTCTCTCTCTCTCTCTCTCTCTCTCTGCCTGTGGATCAAGAATGTAGCTCTGTGCTATGGCTCCAGTGTCATGCATGCTGCCATGTACCCTGACATAATTATAATTTCAGAGGATCAATCCCTCTAATTAATAATTTCTTTTGTAAGACTTGCCGTGGTCATGCATCAACTCACAATAATAGAACCTTGACTAAAACACTTGTGGAATATATTGTTAAGAGTTATGTTCTAATTTAAGAATTTGCTTATCAATATGTATGTGTATATACACATATAAGTTATATATAAACTATGGAATACATAGTAATTAAAAATTCAAGAAGTCAACATATATGTATACACACACACACATATGCAATATATAATAGTAACAACTCTACCAAGTAGATTACCAATGAAATATCGCTCGTAGTCATAAGAAACCCAATATTGTACAGCTGATAAATTTAACCAAAGGCCACACAGATAATGTCACAGATGCAGAGGTAAAAAAATAAGAACAGAAACTAAAATTTCAGTAAGAAGTTACCTGATGTTGTCTTTAATAACTGTGCCCATGTTTTCTATGTTTCTTAATAACCAACTTTGAAAGCTAAAAATGAGACATTTAAAAATCATTACTATAGCAATATGGAATGACTGAGTATTATAAAATTCAGGATACTTAAAATGTTCACTTTAAAAACAAAATTTACTACTAGGCATTGTAACCTGATAGTGAGAGTACCCACAGGTGCGCGACCAAAGACAATGAGTTCCTCTCCCGGAGAATCCATCAGTAGCCAATAGTTCAATAGAGAGTAGAGCTGCATGAACTCTCCCTGATCCATGACTGATGGTTGACAAGCTTACTTAGAAAACAATAGCTCCTGTGTGATCATAATTGAACTGCTGTGTTGTGCCCAGAACATGGCCTTTAGTGAGCCTCCTCCACGTCTTCTGGCACGTACACTCTTTATACCCTCTTCCTCAGCAATCCACAAGCCTCTGAGGCAGTGGGATAACTGTCCTAACCACATAACCATCACTTGTTATTCTCATCACTATAGGCAGTGGTGAGTCTATACACTGCAATGCACTGTGAAGGAATGCTGATCTCATTAGGGCTGAGAGTTACATCTGTCTGTAGCAATTAGAGAGCCATGTCAATTTAGACAGTAGCAATTAGACAGCCATGTCAATTTAAATTAAAAACAGTAGTAAGTTTTCCTCTAGGGAGACTTACTACTCAACAACAAGGTATTGACTGGGTTGACAGCCCAGGCATGAATTTATACTATGGAGCACGTTTCAAAACCAACCGGAGACTACTGTTACCATCACAATTCTCACGCTGCCATTTCACCAGTGAAAATATTTTGCCTGCCCCACTAGTATTATGGTTCTTGAAGTTGAAAATTGTGTAAGATCACTGATGCCATTCCCCAACCCCCCAACAAGCTGCATGTTCTCATGGCCCTTGTTATATTCAGTGGTTCACACACATACACACAGCCACAAAGATATGAATATGAGAAAAGGACTTGTAGGAAGTTAGGTGGTTGACAGAGGTGAGACGGTGGTGATAGAAAGTGGAGGTGAGTTTAGCATCAGCACACTACATACATGTAATAAACTGACAATAAGTTATAAAAAAGTTACTGCAGAAATGATTTTAAAAAAACAGTATCAGTAAGAGGTGGATATCCTTGCAGTGTTTCTTAAATGTCTCCTTTACAAAAGGGACTACTGGTTTGAATTACAATGTTCAGATATCAAGATAGCATTATACAATGTGCATAAAAATAAAACTACTGGTATGGTGAAAAGGATCACTTGAGTAAATAAGAAAATAGTGAGGTTCAAGTCAAGCTCTGAACAATCAAAATTGCTTAAGATAATTTTAAAAATGGAAACATTATAGAAATAATCAAGAGAACACAGGGAGATATCAAAACAAAGCGTAGAGTAGAGTGAGGAAGCCAGGGAGTGAAGGTTTTGGTAAGATGTGGTCACATACCTGCAGTACACACAGCAATGCTGGCTACGTTATCTGTCACCTCTTTCCCTGTGAGACCTTACAGAAAGAAACTATCATCAGGGAGAAATCTAAAAGAGGGCAGGAATACCCCAACCAATCAGCCATCTTGATATATTTCTAGCCTGTAAAGGAAGTATGCAAGCTAGGAGATAAAAAGGTAAACAACGCACTATAATATAGAATAAGATGAAAGGGATCACAGAAAGAGATGAAATCCCTGTGTCCAAAAGAAGTCTAGAAAACAACAACAGCAACAACAACAAAACAAGCAAGCAAGCAAGCAAACAAACAATCTTTCATTCAGGATTAGCACTGGGATTGTTTCAGGATTTAAGACCTGGGACTGGCAAGGTGGTGAGGACTTGATGCTGTCATAGCAGAGGACACAGGTTCTGTGCACAGCATTGGACTACCTATAACTCCTTTGTCAGGAAATCCAATGCCCTTTTAGTCCTCTAAAGATAGTAGACACACATGTGGTCCATATACAATGCATGCAGACACACACAAATTAATATAATATAAACATTTTAAAAATATATATCTTTAAGAAATGGAACTAAGGATGAGGTTGAAGACATACTTATTGAATAGTTTTGCAGAATAATTCCAGGAGCCATTCACATTCTCTAAACACAAAGCCTTTGAGTAACATGGAACTCAGTTCTTCACATGAGTGGTGGGCCAGTAGTAAGCAACTTTCTTCTTCTGATACTTATGTATTTACTGTGTAAGATCCTCACTTGAGAACATACCTTCAACATCCAAAGTCCTCACTGGGTGGTAACTGCAACACCTCACAGGCAACCAGTTCTTCCATTAAACAAATGGAGAAATCTCTACCAACAGTCAAGCTTCTAAAGCAGTTTAGAATGAAATTCTAAGTTAACAATCCTGATTAAAACTTGCAGAAGTTATCCAGTGATTACAATTTAATAGCAAGAGTATTTGAAAAAATAGAAACAAATTATTATTAAATGTATTCCAATTCAAAGGCTCTCTTGTCATGATTTAACTGTTCTTTACTGTTTGATAATTGAAAAGCATTCTCGCATAAAGGATATATTCCTGAATGTTTGCCCTCATGCATGTCAAATCCTAAGTGCATACACTGAAAATAAAAATAGAGTAAGATCATGGATGAATTCATTGATGACACTACTGTCAGCTGCAATTCCCACTGGGTTTCCACCCTCTCAATGCAGAGGCAAGCGTTTAAACCTCTCAGTGCAGAGGCAGCGTTTATATTCAGTATTTTTGCAAGCTTGGCAAACACCTCTGTGGGGGTTTGAATATAAAAATTATATTTAAGCTGCTGTGACCATCGAGTTACCTATAAAAGTCATTTTAAGAATATTGAAATTTTACACTTTTGTGAGAAAAAAAGTTTTCTAAGAATAATAAAGGATGCGTGGGTAAGCAGAAGTTTTTCCTTTCAAGTTCAAGTAAAATTTTACTTAATAAACTCTTGGTTAGAAAATGCATTGCGTTAGCTTGAGTTTGAAAGCAAAATTTGAAATGATAT